TCATAGATTCATAGTTGTTAGGGTCGGAAGGGACCTCAATAGATCATCGAGTCTGACCCCCTGCATAGGCAAGAAAGAGTGCTGGGTTTAGATGACCCCAGCTAGATGCCTATCTAACCTCCTCTTGAAGACCCCCAGGGTAGGGGAGAGCACCACCTCCCTTGGGAGCCCATTCCAGACCTTGGCCACTCTAACTGTGAAGAAGTTCTTCCTAATGTCTAGTCTAAATTTGCTCTCTGCTAGCTTGTGGCCATTATTTCTTTATTTGGAAGTTGCCATCAGAGCCAAGGAGGAAACGGGTTTCCTGCCCTATGAAAAAAAATTGAGGCTTCAAATATTTTTCTTGAATTGGGAGAAAACCAAGACCTTTCCAAACATATAATGGAAAATAGAAGCATAGTAGTTCAGCTCTGCACCTGGGGCAGTGCCAGCTCCTGCTATGCCAATTGCTCCTGTGGCACTGGCTACTTTTGTGCCCTCCTCACAAAGGCAGTGCCTGGGGCAGCTGCCTCAGTTTTGCCCCCTCACTCTATTGATGGTAAACAAATGACATCCACCAAAATAGCATAGTACTTATAGCGCTCACCTAGGATATGGGGAAGTTCAAGTCCCTGGTGTAAATCAGGCTGAGTAGGGATTTGGATCTTGGTCTCCCACTTTATACATGATGGGTGCCTCACTTACTTGGTTACTGTAGCAGAGGTCTTACTCATTTTGCACATTTCCAGAAAAGGTTTCAATAATGTCAAACGGATAATTTTCCAAAGAAAAATTCCCAGTTGGCTTTTTCTGTCATCTTCATGGTAACTTAATACATTCTTTTGCGGCGGCTTGATTTTTTTTTCAGCTCGTCTGAAGAATATCCTACTTTATTCATAGTAAATGCGCAGAAGAGAGAGTGCTGGTTTTTGCCACTTGCACACCAAATTTGGGGCTTTGAAAAATTAGCATATGTATCTTTTGCCTTCACGTGAGACATTGCCAATTACTTTGTGGAAAAGTGGAATTTTCAGGGCTGGGAAAAGGAGACTATTCAAATGGTTTTATTTAACTGCACTGAAGTGACTTACTCAAACTGTTTACTTGATTCCTTCTGGAAAGCTGTGCACTTGAACAGCAGCTAGAGCTGCTTAAAAATTATAATTCTGAAAACCCCTTTTCAGCTGTGTGATGGTCTGCCCATCCTAGAAGGCAGTTTATCTAAGTAAAGTTCAATGTTTTAATTTCTTTAGAAAAATGTTATTTTAAACCCTGAATCTGTGTCGCTTATCAGATGATGAGATGACTTCAATCAGTTGCAAGATCTTGCTCTTAGATTTCCACAGTTTGAAAATGGATCATAAATGTTATTACTTCAGATACTATTTTTATAGTTCTTCTTCACCAATTATTTTTAAATGTCCCTGTTTTCCACAATGCAGGGAAGGTTTTGAGTGATTCTGAAATTAATATGGGTAAACTGCACCCCAATAACTTATACATTCTTCTGCCTCTTGTGGGGGATGGACCGAAGTATAGAATAGTTGTAGTGTTTTAATCTCACTGGGATGAAATACTGCATTGTATTGGCACAGCCTTGGCACGGCTTTACAAGTGCTCGTGGTGCTCGGGCCAGGTGCCAGATGATTGGAAGATAGCCAATGTGGTCCCCATCTTTAAGAAAGGGAGGAGGGAGAACCTGGGCAACTATAGGCCTGTCAGTCTTACCTCAATCCTGGGGAAACTCTTTGAGAAGATCATCAAGGAGCACATCTGTGATGGGCTGGCATCAGGGGTGATGCCGAGGGGCAACCAGCACGGTTTCATTAGGGGCAGGTCATGTCAGACCAACCTGATTGCCTTTTATGATCAGGTCACAAAAGCATTGGATGCAGGTGTCGCCATGGATGTAGTCTTTCTGGACTTCAGCAAGGCCTTTGACACTGTCTCTCACCCCATCCTCGTTAAAAAACTAGGTGACTGTGGCATCGATGCCTACATGGTCAGATGGATTGCTAATTGGCTGAAGGGTTGTACTCAGAGGGTGGTGGTGGACAGGTTATATTCGACCTGGGGGGAAGTGGGCAGTGGAGTCCCCCAGGGCTCGGTCCTTAGGCCTGCGCTGTTCAATTTCTTTATCAGCGATTTGGACGATGGGGTGAAAAGCAACCTGTTCAAATTCGCTGATGATACCAAAATTTGGGGTGAGGTGGGCACGCTAGCCAGCAGCACACTTATAAGATGGGAAACTCCCTTCTTGAGAGCACGAAGGCAGAAAGGGATCTTGGAGTCATCACTGACTCCAAGCAGGGGAGGGAGGGCTAACTGGACCCTATCATGCATCCACAGGTGCATCTCAAGTAGGGCCAAGGAGGTGATCCTCCCCCTCTACGTGACACTGGTCAGGCCACAGCTGGAATACTGTGTCCAGTTCTGGGTGCCCCACTTCAAGAGAGATGTGGACAACATTGAGAGTGTCCAGAGGAGGGCCACCCGCATGATCCGGGGACAGCAGGGCAGACCCTACAATGGGAGGCTACGGGACCTGAACCTGTTCAGCCTTCACAAGAGAAGGTTGAGGGGGGACGTTGGGACCATCTATAAACTCACTAGGGGGGACCAGAAGGGTTTGGGGGAGACCTTGTTTCCCCCAGCGCCCCCCGGGATAACAAGAAATAACGGCCACAAGTTGTTGGAGAGTAGGTTTAAATTAGACATCCGTAAGAACTACTTCACAGTTAGGGCGGCTAGGATCTGGAACCAACTTCCAAGGGAAGTGGTGCTGGCTCCTACTCTGGGGGTCCATAAGAAGCGGCTCGATGCCTACATGACTGGGGTCACTTGAGCCCAGTTTCTCTCCTGCCCAGGCAGGGGGTCGGACTTGAAGATCTACAAGGTCCCTTCTGACCCTACTTCTATGATTCTATGATTGTTCTTATTGGAAGTCTCCATTTTCTTCTCCCCCTCCCAAAGAACCATAAAAATTACAGTTGATTTTTAAGTGGGGTCAACTTACTGGGCCCTGAAAGTCATGACTTTTGTGTTTGTAACATTTTTTGTGCATGAAGTAAAAATAGCAAGTCTGGAATTTATTTTCAGTGCAGTTTTCATATTAGTATTTTAACTGTTAAAATTTAACTGCTTGGGTCTTTCCTTGGTCATTTGATTTGCCTGTGGGATTTATTAATGGACATAGCAGTTCCAGGTCTTTATCTGTAGTTATTCACTAATATTTAGGGGGAAAGTGTGGGGGGAGATTTTATAAAATTGAGCCTGAAAATTTGGTGTCAACTTATGTTTGGTTGCTTTATAATTGGAACGATACGACCGTTTTTTAGGAGTGCGATTTGATTTTGTCTTTCTTCAGATTTCTGTGTAAGATTACTCAACACAAAGGGAATCTCCCCCAACAGCGAGTGTATTATGAGATATTAATATAAATCAGCAAACCGAGACTGAGACAACAAGCACTGTGTTCTGTTACATACTGTGTTCTGTAACGGTGATGCCCCCACCTAACACACAGCAGCTGCCCATCTGCTGTGTAAGTTCAGCAGTACTCACCTTAGTTCTTTCATTAGCTTTTAAATGGAACCAGAAGTCTTGTCTTGTTACCTTTTCCAAAACATTCATTCTGTACTTTTTCTTTGGGTCTAAATTGATTGATCCCCTGGGCCTGAAGTTTTCTGAAGTAACCTTGAAAGCTAATGGCAACCAACAGGCCCTGTTGAGCTTGGGGTTTGAGCTACAAAGAGCAGGGAGCACCATCTTGACCATCAGCCTGAGTGAAGAGAACTGTGTTATGCTCTATTACTACCAAACTCTGTGTTTAAAGCCTGAAAATCTGCCATGCTACTCTTTCTGTTTTGCAGTTGCCTGTAATTCTATGGCAAAAGATGCATCGGAGCTCTTCTCATGTCTCATCACGCCCCATAAGAAAGCATCATGGGCAAAATTTATCCTCCCCCTAGAATAGTTCCACTCATGTCAGCTGTCTTATTTCAGGGACAAATGTAACTTAAAAAAATAATAATGTAGTTTTCTATGTTTGTCTCCACCACACCTTTTATTTTTTTTTGCTCATACGAAGACTGTTGGGCTTCAGATTATTAAAAAAAAAAAAAAGAACAAAAAAGAAGACTCCCCCTCCCCACCCTCAAAACACTAGTTCTTGTGCTTTTCTACTGTTCTCAAAAATATACTTATTGCATGTTACAGGAAGGTTGAGAGAAGTACCTTACATGAACCAGAAATCTTGCTGATGAATGAATTAACCTTCTAGGGTAGATTAGCTGTGTAACTGGGACTTGGCTCTCTGGCTTGTCCGATTGACTTCTTGAGCTGATAAAACAGTTCAGTTAGTTCATTTGATCAGTAATTCATTGCATGATGCTGCATTTGCTGGGGTGCATGTGTGGTGTATGGGTTTCTTTTTGGTCAAATCAGATCTGTTCCCAGATTCTTCTGTCCTTGTTAATCACAAAACAGCACACAGTCCATAATTCATGTTAGTTTATCCTTGTGGGAAATGTATGTACTTGTTATCCCTTTTCCTTCCCAAAAGCAAATGTTAACGTGGCACACAGTATCCTATTAAAAGTGTTTAAAATGGAGACTATTAGCAGATGGTCTTAGATATTTTACTTTTGTATTCAGCGTAAGGTTGTTTTCAAGAGTGTATTGTTATCTAAAGTACTGAAGTAATAGAAAAACTTGATTGTAATAAAAAGAGAAAGAGAATGATGGAGCCAGACCCAGCAAAAGTGTATTGAAAAATGCATCTAGACCTTGCAGTGTTTCATCTGCACTATAATTGTTGCTTTGTTTCAGATCTCTACAGACCAGCATATGTCATTATGGCATTC